TGATTTATTATATGTTATAAAAATAATATATTAAAGGAGAAATCATATTTGTTTAATTAATATTGGTCAATAATTAATTAGGAATTAATTTTGTGATCAAGTGTAATTAATTAAACTAGAGGGGCTGATTTGTAATTATGTGATAGTTACAAAATAAGGTAAGGATTATCTTAAATATAGGGTGAACGAATTTAAGGAGATAATGCCTTAGAATTCGACTAGGATAAGGGTTTCTAAGACTTATCTTATGGTTACTTGGTGGGCAAGCAACTAGATAAGGATAAGGACTAAAACCCTAATCTTTACACCTATATAAACCCCCTAAGGCTCATGAATTCGGTAATCCCTTCCCAAGAGGTCCTAGAGATGAATTCTTATACCTCTCCTCTCTCTTTATAACTTCTCCATTTGCTCTTGGTGTTTGTAAGGCATTAGAGGAGTGACACTTGTGACTCTAAGCCTTCCAAAGTCAATTCAAGGAGATTTGGGATTGTTATTGCTACATAACAATCAAGGTAATATCTTAAACCTAATTATATGTTAATATCGATTTCCATATGCTAGAATTAGGGTTTATAGTCTTGGATTCAAAGCATGTACAATAGAGAAACCTAGATCTAAGCTTTAGGGTTTGTATGAGCACATAGGATGTCTTATGACCAAAACCCATCAATATGTAGTATGATCTGTTTTATCAGTTCGTTGTCTATAGACTATTAGATGATTATCTATTATATGTGCACATGTTTGTTTGGTAGTTGAGGCTTATCTGCTTTGTGAGAAATCCAATAGACCTGGGCATTCCCACTTGTTGGTTGTGGGCCGTGAGTATTCCATCCCGAGGATGATTGGAGTCATAGTATATGGGCATTCCAACCTGTTGGTTGTGGGCTTGGGGTATTCCATCCCAAGGATGATTGGACTCATAATATGTTGGCATTTCAACCGATTGGTTAAGGGCCAGGGGTATTCCAGCCCGATGGTTGACTGGACCCATAGTATGTTGTTTATGATTATATGTGTATTGTCGTGGGTATTGGTATTTTGGGGGAACTCACTAAGCTTTTGGGCTTACAGTTTTAGTTTATTGTTGTAGGTACCTCCGGAGAGGCAGGTCGAGTTTCAGATCGACATGTTATCGAGTGGGGCCCCTATCGCCAAGGCATCATACCGATCGGTGCCAGCCAAGATGCATGAGTTGTCATCATAGCTGTAGGAACTGATGGGTAAGCTGTTCATTCGACCTAGCAGTTCTCCATGGGGAGCACTGGCCTCTTCTTCAGGATGAATGATGGTTCGCACCGGATGTGCATTGATTATAGGGAGATGAACAAGTTGACGGTGAAGAACCATTATCCATTCCCAAGGATAGATGATCTCCATGATCAGTTACAGGGTGCATCTTGGTTCTCCAAGATAGATTTGAGATTGGAGTATCATAAGGTCCAGGTCAAAGAGGAGGACGTGGAGAAGACCACGTTTCAAAGTCGTTATGGTCATTACGAGTTCGTGGTGATGCTGTTTGGGCTCACCAACGCATCGACAATATCTATGGACCTGTTGAATCGGTTCTTAAGACCGATGCTTGATCGATCGGTCATCCTGTTTATAGATGATATCTTGGTGTATTCCAAGACCCGAGAGCAGCACAAGGAGCACGTCAAGGAGTTGTTGGGAGTTCTGAGGCGAGAATGGTTGTATTCCAAGTTCTCGAAGTGTGACTTTTGGTTATGAGAGGTTCATTTCCTCGGACATCTTGTTAGCCAGGAGGGGATTTTGGTCGACCCGGCCAAAATCGAGGCAGTCATGCAGTGGGTGGTGCCGAGATCTCCTTCAGACATCAAGAGTTTTCTTGGATTAGCAGGGTACTACCGGAGATTCATACAGGATTTCTCCAAGATTGCAGTACCCCTCACTCGTCTGACGCGGAAGGAGATCGATTTTTGGTGGGGCCCTGAGCACCAAAGGGCGTTTGAGACCCTCCATCAGCGGTTGTGCGTGGCTCTAGTTTTGACACTCCCAGAAGGAATTGAGGATTTTATGGTGTTTTGTGATGCATCCATCACAGGTTTACAAACGGTCCTCATGCAGAGAGGACGGGTGATATCCTATGTGTCACGGCAACTTAAGACGCATGAGACGAGATATCCTACACATGATTTAGAGCTGGGAGCGGTGGTGTTCACTCTCAAGATATGGAGACACTACCTATGTAGGGTCCGTTGTACCATATACACGAATCACAAGAGCTTGAGACACATCATGGATCATCCGAACCTGAACATGAGGCAGCGTAGGTGGCTAGATGTAGTCAAGGACTACGATTGTGAGATCCTTTACCACCCCTGTAAAGCGAATGTAATGGTGGACGCTTTGAACCGCAGGTCAGCTGGGTCTTCCACCCCAACGATATGTATGAGGATAGCGGTGGATTCTCCGCTTGTGAGTTTGATCAGAGATGCTCAGGTCGAGGGCATGTGACCAAAGAACTAGAAGCTTGAGAGGATCATGGGTGTGAACACTTGTTTTGTGCAGGATAGTCGTGGATTATTGACCTGATGCGGTCGGGTATAGGTTCTGATGTCTGGTGCGATTAGACAGACAGTCATGGAGGAGGCTCATAAGTCGCACTTCTTTATTCACCCGGGGACCACCGAGATGTACAGACACCTGAGTTTGAGTTACTGGTATCCATGTATGAAGCGAGAGATCGCTTGGTACGTCGAGAGGTACTTGACCTGTTGGATGGTCAAGGCCAAGCATCAGAAGCCGCATGGTATGTTGCAGCCCCTAGAGATTCCCTTGTGGAAATGGGAGCAGATCACGATGGATTGCATTACCAAACTGCAGAGGACAACGAAGGGGTTTGATTCTATATGGGTCATCGTAAAGCGATTGACCAAGAGTGCCCATTTCTTAGCTATACGGGAGAGTTCTTTGGCCGAGAAGTTGGCCGACGTGTATGTTCGTGAGATCGTCGCTCGCCATGGGGATCCAGTCTCCATTGTTTCGTACCGAGGTGTTAAATTTACCTCCCTTTTCTGATAGTAATTCCACGAGGAACCGGGCACGTGGCTGCACTTTAGCACAACATATCATCCGCAGACTGACGGTTAGAGTGAGCGGACCATTCAGACCCTCGAAGATATGTTGAGGGTGTGTGTCATTGACTTCGATGGGAGTTGGGATTCCCACTCACCCCTTGTAGAATTCGCCTACAACAACAACTATCATTCCAACATTGGCGCCATGCCTTTTGAGCTGTTGTATGGACGGAGATGTCGCACACCGGTTTGTTGGGGAGAGGTCGGACACAGGATGATAGGACAAATAGAGGTATTCATGCAGACTACCGAGAAGATTCAGTAGATTAGGCAGCGACTGCAGACCGCTCAGAGTCGGCAGAAGAGTTACACTGACAGACGCCGATCTGAGTTAGAGTTCCAGGTTGGTGATATGGTACTCTTGAAGGTCTCACCCTGGAAGGGTATGATCCACTTCAGGAAGAATGGGAAATTGGGTCCCCTCTACGTTGGACCGTTCAGGATTGTTGTAAGGGTTGGCAAGGTGGCACACATGCTAGAGCTACCAGAGGAGCTTAGTCGGATCGAAAACACTTTCCACGTTTCACAATTGCGAAAGTGTATTATGGATTAGGAGGTGGTGGTGTCTTTGGATGATATTTAGGTTGATGAGCGCCTGAATTACGTGGAGAGGCCTATGGCCATACTGGATACGAAGATGAAGGTTCTACAGAACAAGGAAATACCTTTGGTGAAGGTACAATGGGAACATCGGAGGGGATCTGAGTGGACATGGTAGCCCGAGACTGAGATGGGGGAGCATTACCTCGATCTATTTGTCGCAGCAGACTTCGAGGACAAAATCTAAGTCAAGTAGGGGAGAATTATAACATCCTAAGATCTGATAGGTATTCCCGAACCCTCTTCTATCATTACCTTTTCATTTATAGTCCTTGGGGTTGGAAGTGAAGAGCCAAGATAAGTTTAACGGCCAAGTTTGCAAACAGGGGCCAAGATGGAGTACGTTGCGCGTACATAAGAGTACGCTAACGGTATTAAGGTACAATTTGTAATTCTTTTTGCTTCCCTGTATAGTTTTGTGAAACATATGAGTAATTTTGGAAACTATAATTGGACAAATTGGATTAGCTTGCTTTTAACATTTTGTAATTCTTTTTGCTTCCCTGCCTTTTCTTTTTTGACAGTTCGCTTAATTAATTGGTAAATAAACTTTTAGTTTTGATAGAAAAAACTTAAAAACTTTAAGTCGTTTTTGAAATTAACCCCAAAATTAAAGGAGAAAGTACAACATTTTTTTTTAATTAAAAGTTTATTGGGGATGCCGGATGGATATGCATGAATCAGTGATCGAGGGATTTGAGCCTACTTTAACTTGACGCATCAAAATCACCATCCCAATGAATTTTTGGTATATAAAATCAACAAACGAAACAAGCGGAAGACACCATTTTTTGCATAAACAAGCGAACATCCCTCTTCTATATCTTTACCTACTTCATATGTGTCTTTCTATTTTATATATTTTCCTTTACTTTTGATAATTAATGTAATAATATATTAAATGAATCATATATACAAATTTAAACATTCAATTCCACTCTAAGAAAACTACTCTCCAACGGATATACGCCCGGCCGCTTGATCGAATTTGACTGCCTGTTGTTACATAATACAATTCTTGTAACTATTACGTATTGGTAAAAAACTAAAAATAACAAGAGATTTAAAACGAATCTAAATAAGTTAAACTGGGTGAAAGTGTTTATTAGTGGATGATATACATTGGTAGAAGTGATACAAACATGTACGTATCTTCTACTCATCTCCATCTGCTACACATGCATGTAAACACACTCATACACACCGACACACACCCACACGGGCTCGCACACACATGCACACACTGTATTTAGCTTCTCATCGACCAACGTCTTTATATGTAGAGAGAGGGAGAGATATAGGGAAAAGCAGAGAGATTTAAAGAGAGAAATTAAAATGAATAGCAGTGATCAACAGGGATCCCTAAATATGATGAAAAGGCGGTGGTTGCAGGATCACCAGAGAAGACTCATGTCCCAACCCTACATCAACATGCTCGTTTCTCAAAATAACATCTCTTCTTCTTCTCCTCCTCCTCCTCCCATTCATAAATTTCTAAAAGAGGAGGACGATTTGATAGCTGGAGTGATTCCAGCGGTGACAGTGGTGGTGGAAGGCCGTTCAATCTGCCACCGGATCAGCCTTCACAATCACGACGGTTACAACAGCCTAGCTAAGGCTCTCCGCCACATGCTGGTGGACGACGAGCAGAATGGCCATGATCATGAAGAGCAAGAAGTGGGAGTTGATCTGTCAAATGCAGTACCAGGTCACATCATTGCTTATGAAGACATGGAAAAGGATCTTCTTCTTGCGGGTGATCTTAACTGGAAGTAAGTTATTTATTTGAATTTAAAATAATACTTATGTACTTAATTTGATACTGCTTCTAGACATAATAGAGTATGTTATTTTTTATTATTATAATATCACACCTATATATGTTTACTAAACTAGATTCGTATTTCTTTAATTTGGCCAAAAAGGAATTGATTCGATTCGACCTTAATTATTCTGGGAAAATGATATAAATGTTCTATTAACTTTCTAGGTTTTACACGTTGAGTTCTTAAAGTTTTTATCGGATTTTATGGGTCCCTAAACTAGGATATGACACGTTCTTTTAGTCTCTGTCAACATCTAATAGCCGGTTCAGTGACCTTTTAAATCAAAAAACTCATATTGTGCCCTTATAATAATACCAAAAAAATAAATTTGGGGATCATTACAAATTATGTGTGAATTAACTTTAGAAGAAAATAAGAGTTTTTTTTGTACAAATTGATACTCAAACTATATTTTATTTTATTTTATTTATTTATTTGTTTATTTTTGGTCTAAAAGGTTACTGAACTGGCTATTACAGGTTGACATGGACTAAAATAGCAGGTTATATCCTAGTTTAGGGCCCAATAAAGTCCGACAAAGACTTTAGGGACTCAACGAGTAAACCCTAGAAAGTTCATAGGGTATTTGTGTCATTTTCCCTTATGAATTATATATATACGATTTTTTGATGCTTAAACCCGACTAAAGAAAATTTTGTAGTTTCAGAATTAATAAAGATTTTATTGGAGTTAAAGGGATTGTATGTGTATTCTTTGTTGAAGGGATTTTATAAGGGTGGCAAGGAGACTTCGCATCATTCCAGTGAAGGCGAATTTAAGTAAAGGAAAATGATTTGAATAAGAATTGTCGAAGAGGAAACGAATGTGTAGGCATTTGTATTTGAAACATATGTAGCTAGTTATGGTATTTCATTTTTAGGGTCCAAACCTTGTATGACCCGTCGTTCACAAGAGTGTAGCTCGTTATGGTATTTCACTTTTTGTCCTATTTAAGTAATTATCGCTTTCAATGCAAGGTCTTATGAGATTATATTTTAGTCTTCCCTCTTGCGGTTGTTGCTATAAAAATATTTCAAGTTTTGTGTGAATTTTGTTACGGAGACCTGTGAAGTGGAGCTCTACATGCCGGATCGTTGAGCATTGCTCGGAGATTTTCAAACTACATAATAAATAATAACATATATAAACTTATAAGTTAAATTATTAAACATAAACAAAAACTACCAAAGTACATTACTAATTCTTGCTCTTAAATACAAGATATACCAAAAGTACATTGTTATTTCTTGCACTTGGCATAAAACACAATTACCAAATCAACATGTATTTATCGATTCCAAAGTACATTGCTATTTTTAAACTAAGACAAAAAAACCAAAGTACATTGCTATTTCATGCACTTGGGACAAAAACTTAATTACCAAAGCTTTTAGCAAATAATCACCACAACCCCAAATTATCAAATTAACATGCATTTTATGATGCCAATGTACATTGTTATTTTTAAACTAGAGACAAAAAACCAAAGTACATTTCTATTTGTTGCACTTAAAATATAAACACTTGAAATTAAATAATATTACTCTATTTGTGCTAAAGAACCTTAAATACAAGAATTACCAAAGTACATTGCTATTTCTTGCACTTAAAATATAATAAATACAACAAATAAATTGTTATATCTTGCACTTGTGACAAAAGCACAATTAGCAAATCAACATGCATTTATTGATGTCAAACTACATCACTATTTTTAAACTAAGACAAAATACCAAAGTACATTGCTATTTGTTGTACTTCGGACAAAAAACCAATTACCAAAGCTTTTAGAAAATAATCACCACAAACAAAAATTACCAAATCAACATGCATTCATTGAAATTTTTAACAACCCAAAAAACTTAGGTAAATTTTTTCTCGAACCATTGCATTATAGTGATGGCGCTCCCACTCCCATTGAAAGAATCGGATTTGCCATTCATGAAATCTTTGTAAGAGCATTCCCTCACACGCCCCGCACTGTCCTCGTGATTAGAGTGCGTAGCGCCAAATCCAAAACCACCGGCACCATTCGTACCTATTTGCGACATTGCAGCCGCCACTACTGCTGTTACGGCAACTTAAAATATGGAAGGGTAGAATTGCGGAGGTGGTAGTGGTGATGGTGGCGGAGAGGGTGGATCATTGCGATTTGGTTTGGGATTTTTCCTTGGCATAATTCTGCCATAATTAACAGAACCTTGGTAAGTCATTAATAGTAAGAGTAAGTTGGGTGATATTTGTGCTACATTATTAGTGTTATGCCCCAACTTCACGGTAATTATAAACAATTCATAAATAAGGTCTACATGATTATAATTATGAATTTAGAAATAGTGACTCAACCGAACACTTGTGTTCTATTTTGTTCTTGATCCACTCCTAAAATTCACTCGATGTACACAGTCGCATGTAATTAAGTTTTGATAAACCGTTGAACCTAATGAATCTGCCCTAAGTCCATAACCAAACAAGGAACAGGTCCTAAGGCGGACTCACCATTTCTGAGTCGATCGTCCCTTAATTACACAATACCTCGATGTACAACTTAGTAATTTTAGAGTTCTCAATTACAATTGTTTGTATTATCATGTTATGAGTTCTCATGCCAAATAACCAACAAAATAACATGGAAGTCAATTTCATTGATGTAAGTTTGGTACATATTGCTTAAGAAAATTTGACCTCATGAGAAAATACGACACTACGCGAGCATGTATGCATGTACTTATACTTTTATCAAGAAACTGTTCATTTTCTAAAAGTATAGTCATTTGAAAATGTTTAATCAAAGACTTTTAGTCCCAAATGCATTTATAGTTCGTATATCTTATATGCTTCGATATACTTAATTCACTATAAACATTGCTCTAATACCAATCTGTCACACCCCCAAACCAAGGATGGTAGAAACATCCGGGGGTGGAGGACTTCATGTATAGTATCATAACAACAAGTATAAAGTGCTCAAAGTACAAACAACCAACATAAATATAATTGAAAAAGTTACATCATAATATAAGTTTACATGTTTATAAATCAATTACATTATGTTGACAAAAATACAATGTTTGATGCCTTAGCATTCCATCCTCAAAAGCCGTTGTTTACCTATTTTACGGATTCCCTGAGAATACAAGTAGTTTTGAAAAAGTGTTAACAATTAAGTTGGTGAGTTCATAAGCTTTTAGAATGAAATGATGAAATCCTTTCTTGAAAAGGTAGTGTTCGTTTCAGAAAATCCAATATTTTCCCTTTTAAAATGTTTTGTAGTCTAAAATGCCAAGACAAATAGATTACTAGTATTTTTCGATATAAAATTGTGAATCATGCAAGTTTAAATCGACACAAACTTGTTAGTTTAAATGGAAATCCCGTAAATCTTATGTTTGTTAATACCCCATGTGAGTTATTATAACCATACTATGACTTAGATTGCCTTATATACGACGTTCTTCAGGCGTCGGAATGTTAATGATATTTGTCACCCTAGACCTGCCGGTCTAGCTGTTGCAATGCAGCTAAGGTGTGGATTTGTCAAACCCAATATAGATCTATACACATTTGTCACGTTCTCCCTACAAGAGATTTTGGTTATAATTAAATGACTTTTGTTACACTACTTAGAAATAACGTGAAGCGAATGTCTCACAAATTTATTCATTAACAGATTTATGTAATGTGATAATGAAAACCCCTTTTTGTATAAATGTATTCTTTTGTATTGTATATGTAACATAAACTATACCTATTATAGTTTATCAAAATGTTTGTAGTGTGTAGTATTCACCTTCTATGTAAGTAGAATGTATATAACAAAACGCTTCTAGTTTTACCATGCTTCATAATGCATTAATTGTAATGAAAAAGAATTCTTACAATTTAGTGAACATTTTTTTGTAACATAAATGTATCCAAACAGAAAACTCGTGCAAAATATGAAGACATCAAGGTTTTACACTTTACTCAACAAGTTACAAAGTGTTAAACAAATTGTAATTTGTGAACTTGTTTTTACCATTTCTGCACTGATTTATAAAAATCACAGAAAAATCATACGAGATCGAAAACTAGATCCGTAAACTCTAAGAGTTTAGAAAATGTGTCTCGTTTGTTCAGAAATATTATTATGATTTTTAGAAGTCCTTAACTAGTGTGAAAATGTCCATATTCATAGACCGGTCCAAATTCGTAGCTACAGTGATAAATAGTTTTGTAAAAATCGCCATAAATTGTAGAACATTCATATGGACATGTGCAAGTAGTCATTAGTCATTTTAAAGGTATTAACCTGGAATATTTGCACCTAATACAGTTTTGAAAACTAAAAAGTTTAAGATGTTCAAAACAGTTCGTGAATGAACATGAAGTTTTCTGCTGAAAGCTGTTGTTTGTGTTTAGTTATGTTGTTAGTGATTTAACTTGTATTCTCCCCCTAAAACTTGAAGAAAACAGGAAAATGTGGGGGTATGAACTCACCTTGAGGGATTTCAATATATGGATGATGAAGAAAAGAAGTGTTCAACTCAAGAACACTTAGAATATTGCTTGAAGATTCAAAGATCTAGCACAACTATGATGATGTTTGTGTAAGATATCCATTATTTAAGTAGAAAGAAAAAGGTAATAATCATGTGAGGAGTGATATTACTTACTAGGAGTAGATGAAGAGCTTTTGATCTGCCTTGAATCTCGAGCTTAGTAGGAGAAAGTGAGAGAGAATGGATTTTTTCTCTTTGCTGGAGAAGGAGTGAAATAGGAGGAGAGATAAGAGTTTTCCAGCCTTTGATCAAGAGTGTAGCTGGAAAATGGTGGGAAAAGGACAATGATTAACTAGGTATGAGGGAATAGTGGATGGGTATGGCCCTGGAGTGAGTGTGGGAGGTTGCTTCTGTTCTTGTACAAAGGATAAGTCAACACTCCACCTAAATAAGTTACCCACCATATTTTATTCTTAAATAAAGATTTCCATAAAAATGTCTTTAGATTATGTAAATATGGGTCTTATATGTCAAAATATGAGTTTGGGTGAAAATCCCGCGTTAAAATCACGAAAAACGGGCTTCAAACGCAAAAATGGTCAAAAACCAGGAAAAACAAACGAATCGACAAAGACCCGGACGAAGGACCTAATGTAACGACCCAATTTTCACGTCCAAAAATTTTCATTTTTGATTAAGTGATTTGCCAAACATTTGTAACAAAATATCATCCGATCATATCATTAAATAAAAAAATGTCTCGTATCTGAAAACCGAATCGTAAAAACATAATAATGTCAGAGTACAAATTCCAGAATAACTCATAATGTGGAAAAGAAAGAGTGTGTGTATGATGTGCTGCTACCGCGCCAGGTCCTTGCCCTTCGCTGAAGAGGTACCTGAAACCAAAACTGTAAACTGTAAGCATGAAGCTTAGTGAGTTCCCCCATCATACCACATTCCATATAATCACATAGCATACATACTATCAGGCAATTCTGGGGTGCCCGACCTAACCGGTCCAGCCATTCTGGGGTGACAACCTACCCATGCGGCCATTCTGGGGTGCCGTCCTACCCATGTCAAGCCATTCTAGGGTGCTGACCTACCCGTCGGTCCTAACAACCGACCATCTGGGACTATTCCACCCCTTACCGCTACTAGCACATATATCATAACATAAGCATACTATCAAATGCATCTGGGGTGTCTGACCTACCCTTCGGTCCTAACAACCGAACTCTACTACTATCACATATAACATATCATGCCAGCATATAACATATCAGGTAGTAGCAACCTAGATGACATCACAAAGACAATCTGTGACAACCCAAAATTTAGGGCTATTATTATAACCGCCAATCTATCCGTGAA